ATGTACGAGCCATAATGCTCATACAGCAATTTTATATTGAATGCAAACGTATATAATGCATCGAACTAATAACTTTAATTAATCGTACATAAGTCGTAACAAGGTCGCTATCACGTGCTAATGTGTAGCAATCGGAACTAACATAGAATACGTAATAATACGTAAAGTGCGATTCAGATAACTAAACGTAGCCTTTTGGTAGTCGGAAAATAAACAAGTAAACCTAAAGGAACTTCGGAGTCTGAATTATTACCTACAATCTACAATTACAATCGGGATTGTCGTCAACGACGAGAAAAACCCAACATCTTTTTGGTCCTTCGAGCCGTCGAGATCAACGACATCATCAATAGAAATCGTCGTGTCTCCTCAGGTTTGGTGCTTAGCTTAGCTTATCCCAGTTACGTAAGCAAATCGGTGCTTCTGGCCTCCCACCAGCGGGTCTCACCAGAAGCATTGAGACGTTGCACATTACGTAAAGGAGGGAGAGTTATACTGAGTACCAGCCTGAAACGTACCAGCAGGGATAACGTCTACTGCTACAGAAAATCAGTGAACAAGAAGTAATCCGCAGAATAACGTCTGCGGAAATTACAACAACACTAGCGGACATAACGTGTACTGCTACGCCATCCGAATCATTGAAACAACTAAGAAGTGCGTGCTTATAATAAGCATAATAAGCACCTCTAACAATGTCGAAAGAAGACTTCCAAGAGTTTGTTGCCCTCATATCCAGGCAGCAAACAAGCTACGAAAAAATCAAAACTCTGCAAACTAACTATAAAAAGGATTCTGTGAGTAGAAAGTCCATAGATTACCTCAACAAGCGAATAGAAGCTCTGCAAGCCCTTTGGGACGAGTTTCGTTCCAACCACGAAATACTAAAGAAGTACGAGTCCATCAACAGAGACCATGATTACTTCAAACAAAACATCTTTGAAATAACGAAAAGCATGTTCAACGAAACCATACAATCTATGAATCAGCTGCGAAAAACATTGAACACCGAACCAGAATTTTCGAGTACGTCAAACCCGAAAACTCCAGAAATAGAAGTGACAACACATTTTGACACTTCTGGATTACACGAACATATCAAAAACGATGTGCCTGACAAGCATCTAACAACACTGTTACGTAACCAAATGTGTAACTTTAATGCTTTAGAGCGAGCGGTTTCCAAAACCAACTTGGATAACTTAAAAGAGAAGTGGCAACTACAAGATCACCTTAACATACTCCAGTCGAAGTGGGAAGCGATAGATAAAATCCACTGGGAAATAAGTTATCTCCTGCAAGGGAACGACCAAGATTATGAAGATAAGTACGACCACTGGGAAGCAATCTACGATCTCCTAAAGGAAGACTTAAACAAAAAAATATTTGAAACATCGCACTATGAAAAAACAACACCACGTATGGAATTGCCGGAGTTTAATGGAAACTTCAATAACTGGATCTCTTTTAGAGACTTATTCATTGAGATGATTCACAATAATCCAACGCTAAACAAAACGCAGAAAATGAAGTTCCTTAAATCTAAATTAAGAGGTGAAGCAGAAAAGTTGATCAAACATCTCCCTGTGAGCGCCGAGAATTACGATTCGTGCTTGGATATCATCAAGCATCGATATGATAATAAACGGCAACTTTTTATCTCATATATTGACACCTTTCTCAACCAGTCATCAATTGATCAACCAAACTCAAATAACTTAAAGAAGCTATATGACACCACTAAAGAATGTATAAATGGTTTAGAAAACATTAACGTCGATATTCCTGTATGGGGTCCACTTCTAGTATATTTATTGTCTTCAAAACTGGATGACGTCACACATAGTGACTACTTAAAAGCCATGAAGCATCCAAGGGAAATTCCAGATTTAGAAGAATTTATGGAATTTCTGGAATCGCAATTCATGACGCTAGAAACATCTCGGACAAAAAAGAGCAGCGGAAAAAATAATTATTCAACTAATAATAACCAATATAAAAGTTATAACAATAATAAGTCAATGAACTTTAAAGACTCGGAAAAACGGTCAAAGACATACCACACGACGATGTGGAAATGTCCAATTTGCAAAAACAATCATGCACTGAGGCAATGCCCTACATTCCTGAACATGGATGTCGCAACGCGAAATAAAACAACAAAAAATTTAAACATATGCAAAAATTGCTTGTTCAGTCACGGCGGAAACAAATGCAACTCAACGAAAACATGCCGCACGTGTAATATGAAACATAACACACTTCTTCATGATGATAATCTGAGAGGTAGACAATCAAAGCCACCAGCATCTATAGCAGGTGAACAAACCACTTATCACATTAACAGTGATCAAGAGATACTCCTAACGAATCTCCAATTGAAAGTCAAGAATAAAGAAGGAGATTACGTCATCCTTCGGGCATTACTCGATCAAGGTCTCCTTGATAACCGAAAATGCAGCACAACGTCTAAACTTACCCCGAAGCAAAATGAACGCATCTGTTTCTGGTATTGGCACAACACGAGGAACGAGTAAAGGAATGATTAAACTAGAATGTAAATCGATACACTCACAGTACACATTCCAAACCGACGCATTAGTTATGAGTAAACTAATCAACAATCTACCTAACTCAAATATCGACACAAAGAACTGGACACACCTTCATAATATTAAGTTGGCTGATCCAGACTTCAACGTTTCAGGACCCATTGATTTATTATTGGGAGCAGATATTTACTCCAATATAATCATCGATGGAGTACTCAAACAAAATAACTACTCGCCAGTAGCGCAACAAACCAAGTTAGGATGGATCCTATGCGGTGCTACTAAGCAATTTAACTGTCTAGTAACTACAACAGAGTTAGACGAAATGACGAGATTCTGGGAATCAGAAGATATTCCCTCGGAACTCGACTCGATATCTAACGACGAACACTGTGAGAAATATTTCACTGAAACAACGCAGCGGCTTAGCAACGGGCGATATGTCGTGAAAATGCCAATGAGCGATAACTATAGAGAAAAGCTTGGCAGCTCTAAACCTCAAGCCATAGCACAATTTCTCCAGTTAGAAAAGAAGATGGTCAGACAAGAACATTTTGCAAAACTATACAAACAATTCATAAGTGACTACATTGAATTAGATCACATGAAACCGGCACTAGAGTCCAATCATCAAATACAAGCCTACCTACCACACCATGGTGTCATAAGAGAGTGTTCAACAACAACGAAACTACGAGCTGTTTTTAACGCTTCAATGAAAACAGACTCGGGCTTCAGCTTAAATGATTTGATGGAGAAGGGGCCTAATCTACAAAAGGATATCCTATCTCTGGTCATTAAATGGCGGAGCTATAAATATGTATTAACGGCAGACATCGAAAAGATGTACCGCCAAATCCTAGTGCACCCAGAACAACAAAGTCTGCAAAAAATTATCTGGAGAGACTCTATAAACGAACCTCTTAGAGAAATGCAGCTGTGCACATTAACCTATGGTACTAAAGCAGCACCATTCATTGCGATGCGGACTCTTCAACAACTAGCTATTGATGAAGGCGACAATTTTCCATTGGCTAAAATTGCATTGCAACACGATTTTTATATGGATGATGCAATCACAGGTCACCATACCATAGAAACAACAAAGCTCCTACAAAAAGAGCTTAGCGAACTATTAAAAAAAGGGGGTTTCGTTTTAAGGAAATGGGCCACGAATGAACCATCTATTCTCAAAAACCTAAACCGGGAAGAAAAAAGTAACAATAACGATTTTAATTTTAAACAACAAGAGTTTAGCAAAACATTAGGACTCGCATGGAATGACGCATCTGACACATTTCATTTTACGAGTGAAACACAGCAGTTCAACAGCAAAGACATTGCACCATACACGAAACGAAGGTTGTTGTCTGAGATCAGCAAAATTTACGATCCGCTCGGTTGGATAGCTCCAATGACAATCCAAGCAAAACTACTTTTTCAAAAACTATGGAGCGATTCCTGTAAAAGCATTGGTTGGGATGAAAAGGTACCGGACACCATAGAAAAAGAATGGAAAAGGATTAAAATCGAATTACCGAACTTAAATGATATCAGTATACCAAGATGGATACAAAATGAACACAATGGTAATATCGAATTGCATGCTTTCTGTGATGCAAGCGAAAAAGCCTACGCATGTGTAATATACAGCCGAACAACGTCATCCAACGGAATACGTAAAGCTACTCTACTCGCAGCTAAGACGAAAGTAGCTCCAATAAAAAAGAAAACTACGATTCCGAGGTTGGAATTATGCGCCGCAGTTTTACTAGCAAAACTATTAGATAGAATAACAAAAATCCTTGCCGAATACAACGTGAAAGTATTTTGCTGGACCGACTCTAAAGTGGTCTTAGCATGGCTACAAGGAAACCAAACGAAGTACGAAAAGTACATCACTAACAGAACAACAATAATAAGAAACATAGTGCCAGCGAATAATTGGGGTTACGTGAATACAAACGAAAACCCTGCTGATTGTGCAACTAGAGGTCTTTTGCCATCAAAGCTAATAGACTTTTCGCTGTGGTGGGAAGGCCCTAAATGGCTCACGGAACAAGAAAAACAAACTATTGTCTCAGAAGAAACCTACACGACAAATGAAGGATCTTTAACAAATTGCTACACAATTAATAAGGCGGAACCCGCACCGAAAAGAAATGAATTAATTGATTCATTACTCGAACGACATAGCAACATAGATCGTATTTCAAGAATACTCGCTTGGTCGAAGCGTTTTGCTGAGGCGTCAAGAAAACAAAGGTCAAGTGAGTGCTCTGAACTCACATTGAAGGAAATAAACAGGGCCATGTGTACAATTATTAAATCAGTACAAATATATTATTTTGAAAATGAAATATTATCGCTCGACAAAGGTGGAAAACTTCCTACTAAGAGCAACATTTTAAAATTGAACCCATTCCTGGATTCGAATGGCGTTCTACGTGTTGGAGGACGTCTTAAGCACTCAAACTTGCCGGAAGAATCAAAACATCCCATCCTAATCCCTGGAGAAGGAAGACTGACACAGCTAATTATTGAAAAGGCACATCAACAAACATTACACGGTGGAGCAAGACTAACGCTAGCTTACACTAGAAATAATTACTGGATTATCAGCGGCAATCGAACTGTTAAGAAGGCTCTGCGACAATGCATTCGATGTCGTCGGTATGCAACTTCCAGAACAGAACAACTGATGGGGAACCTTCCTAAAGAGAGAATCACCCCGTCGAGACCATTTTCACACACTGGAATTGACTTTACTGGTCATGTCGATGTAAAGATAAACAAAGGTCGCGGCATAAAAACCTGCAAAGGTTATATTGCCATATTTATATGCATGTGCACAAAAGCTGTACATATTGAACTTGTTTCGGATCTTTCTACGCCAACTTTCATTGCTGCATTGAAAAGGATGTGTGCCAGAAGAGGCACACCAAATCATATTTATTCCGATAATGGCACCAACTTCGTAGGAGCAGCAAAAATCCTAAAGGAGGAATTCCAGCTATTTAAAACAATGCTGTCCCCAGAATTTTTTAAGGAGATAAACAACCTCCAAATCGAGTGGCACTTTAACGCTCCATCCTGGCCATCGGCAGGAGGCTTATGGGAAGCCGCTGTACGTTCCATGAAGGCTCACCTGAAACGAGTAATTGGGCAACAGAAGCTAACCTACGAAGAATTTTCAACTCTACTTTCACAAATAGAAGCGTGCATGAATAGTAGACCGTTGAGTCCCTTATCTGAGGATGTGGAAGATCTGGACTATCTTACTCCAGGTCACTTTCTAACGGGAAGTCCAACCCTAACACTACCGCTCAACGATCCGGAAGATACGAAAGTCGACATTAGAAACCACTGGAAGCTTATTGAACTCATGCGCCGACAATACTGGGATCGCTGGTCAAAGGAATACCTTCATACTTTACAAAACCGAAACAAATGGCAACTAACTAAAGAAAACATAAACAAAGGGCTGTTAGTTCTCCTCAAGGAGAGTAACCTACCGCCAGGCAAATGGGCTATGGGCCGCGTAATTGAATTGCACCCTGGAAGCGACAAATTAGTTCGAGTTGTCTCGCTTAAAACACAGTCTGGAATATGTAACCGAAGCATGCGAAAATACTGCATCAAACAAGGTGACGTCAGAACCAGAGAAATGCGGTAGCAACAAACGAAACCGCGTAAAAGGAAGCCGATCGCTCAAAAAGGGTGCAAACTATGTAATATTAGTTTTGCTAATGGCATTGACAACGATAACATGTGGGCTAGCAACACCAATGCAACATTTTAAAATAAAGCAACTAGCGAAAGACCAACCAGTTTACTTTGACCCCGTCGGAAATATCCAGCTTATACATGATGAAAGGAAACTTCTGGTGTACTTTAATCTGACAACATTTTGGCAAAGTACAATAAGGGTTGAAAAATATGTTAATCGATTAGCTGAACTATGTGACTCGATGCCCAACGAGTCACGTCACTCTACTATACATCAGCTGAAATTCGAAATGAATCAAATTAACGAATACAACACACTGTTGCAGTCTCAACATCAACAAAGAAGACGTCGCGGCTACGTCAACGGAGTAGGAAATGTCGCACGAGCCCTATTTGGTGTCTTAGATAGCGATTTTGCCGAGAAATACGCTCTGGGCCTCTAGCCAAACGCCACTTTAGCACTTGTCTACAGAGAGAGTAGAAATCAAAATGTATGGGGATGACACTGACAAGTGTCAAAATTAACGTCAATTCCATATAATTTGGTTTTCTATTCTACATGTAGACAAGCGCTAAATGGCATTTGGCTACA